GTAGAATCCATAATTTCAAACAGTTCCAAGATTGGGCTACTAGTTCAAAAGTTACAGCCCTTTGAATCTTCTTTCGAAATTGGTTTCTACTCTATAACTATTGATTGAGAAGTCTGATCGAAAAAGTACGAATTGTTTTGGATTCTACGCACGAAGATTAATAAGAAAAGGTGTTTTCCCGAGAAATTTTGGTGCAGTCGATTTTTGGTAAAAAAGGAAGGTTGTACACTGCCATTTTTTGAGGCCCGTAAACAAAATTGTCTCAGATCGACCCGGAAAAAAATTTTCTTATAGAATGTGCCCTGTAGAATCCATAATTTCAAACAGTTCTAAGATTGGGCTACTAATTCAAAAGTTACAGCCCTTTGAATTTGTGTTTTTGTACTATTTTCCTTTTGTGTGTTAAGATTAAAATCCCATTTTTGTAATTTTCACATTAATTTTTCCGTGTGATTCATTTTATGTATTCTTGCAGTTCAGTTTAGATTTAAGGTATTTGAGTTGACACACGTCGAATCTCTCCTCTGTATTGGGGGGAAGCTTTGTGCCGTGATCATAATAAAAGGTAAAGAGCTAGCTAGGTTTTTTGTTGCGGTGTATTGTGTACGGTCTTTCTGGCCTACGGATCAGTGAACACAGCAATATATATCTGAAGTTACCGTTCAACCGTTGAGTGAAGGTTTAATTACTCAATGGTTGTATTAATAAGCTGGTGGTTTGTACGTCACTTTTAAAATACAACGATACACCAGAAAGAACGTTCTGATAAATTGTGCAGTATTTGATTGTTACCGTCTTTTGGCGAGATCTTATTTCGCACGATTCGCCACCTATCCCCGAATTCATTGAAGTCACTGAAGGAGGATTCTGTATCAACATTTTCACCTGCAAAAGAGCCGTCGTATTTTTATGTAGAACTAAAGGTTTAAATCTTTAGGAAACAATGTAAACGTTACATAGATAATTTTAACTTGATTTACGTTTATAAAAATAAGAAAGAAATTTTGTGGTTTGAATATTCTTAGAGTGGGGGTTAAAGCCGTTTGGTTTTGCATGTATTTTTTATTTAGGTATTTATGAACCTACCCAAAATTGGATTTTTTTT